GATTGGTTTCGGGTCCCTGATAGGGGGCTTGGCTATCATCTGGCGCCTACCTTACTCGCCAACGAAAAGCGACACCGAGCGGCGCGTGTAAGCTTTCCGACCCAACTTGGCCTTCCGTGACCTCCGCCCGGGGGCGTTTGACTTGCCGGGGCCGTGCGATGGTGCGGAATGGGGGTGGGCCAAGAGGCCCGGGCCACGGGGGTAGGCCACGGGGCCCGGGCCAAGGGGGTTGGCCAAGAGGCCCGGGCCACGGGGGTGGGCCAAGAGGCCCAGGCCACGGGGGTAGGCCACGGGGCCCGGGCCAAAGGGGTGGGCCAAGAGGCCTGGGCCACGGGGGTGGGCCAAGAGGCCCGGGCCACGGGGGTGGGCCAAGAGGCCCAGGCCACGGGGTAGGCCACGGGGTCCGGGCCAAAGGGGTGGGCCAAGAGGCCCGGGCCACGGGGGTGGGCCAAGAGGCCCGGGCCACGGGGGTGGGCCAAGAGGCCCGGGCCACGGGGGTAGGCCACGGGGCCCGGGCCAAGGGGGTGGGCCAAGAGGCCCGGGCCACGGGGGTGGGCCAAGAGGCCCGGGCCACGGGGGTGGGCCAAGAGGCCCGGGCCACGGGGGTGGACCAAGGTTCCCGGGCCACGAGGGTGGGCCAAGAGGTCCGGGCCACGGGGGTGGACCAAGAGGCCTAGGCCAAGGGGGTGGGCCACGGGGGTGGGCCATGGAGCCCAGCAAAAGCCGCGCTGTTGACGCCGGAGCAACGCGGGAGTGGAGGGGGGGAGTTTAGCGGAGCAGGCAAACTGTACGACCCGCTCGTTCGCTCGCCCGGCGCTGCTTTAAGAGTCGCTTAATTATTGACGACGATTTGATGCCCCTCGCGCATAGCTGCTTGACGGCTTGTAAAGAAGGAGAAAAAAAACGCCTTAAAAAAATGGTTTGATGAAGGCGCGTGGGTGCGCACCTGCGCAAGTGGGTTGTGTTGGGCCGGGAGGGAGTGGTGGCGCAGCGATTATGTACGTGCTGTATGTTGAACTATTTCGCACCGTACGTAACCAACAGCGCTAATCGTCACCTACCGAGTTCGATTCCCACTCACGGCCAAAACCAGGGACGATTATCTGAACCGGTCCTTGGCCTCCACTAGGTTAACTCAGCCTCAAATGAGTACCTGGTGCGGTGTGTAAAACATCGCCACTAGGGAGACAAAGGTGGCCGGGCGTGGTTCTGGCCACCGACTCCCTCGTGTGCCGTGCCGGCCTTCATAGGTGCTCGCTAACAGCACTTGCCCCAACAGTCTGTCAAGGCTACACGGGGAATCTCTGTCTTGGTTGAAGTGGGGTTTGTGTGGGGAACGGTGGAGCAGTGGTTAGTGCGGTGTCCAATAACACTGGCGAATATCTGAATCGGTTCTGGGCCTCTCCTAGGTCGACTCAGCCTTAAATGAGTACCTGGCGCGGTGTTGAAATAACAGCACTGGGAAGACAAAGGCGGCCTGGCGTTGTGGCAGCCACACCCACCCCCCCCCCCCCATCCGAGTGCTATATCAGCCTCAATAGGTGCTCGCTAACAAGACTTGACCTCACCGCTTAAAGGCTACATGGGGGACCTTTGCTTATGCTTGCATGGTGCCTTTGTGGGACAGTCTGTGTTCATTTGCACCTGTCATAGGAATGAGGAATTTCCACCATTGGCCCGAGGGGCCAGTGGGTTTGGTATCCGAGTGATGATGCACAGCATCGATGACAATGTATACCTCAACTCAGCTTCAACTGGTTATGGCACCTCGTGCAGCATCATTATCGGTGGCAGCACTGTGGAGACATGAGCAGCAACAGGACCCCACCGGAGTTTTTGCCAAAATGACCTTATTAATATGTCCTTATTAATGTCCTTAGCAGCAACATTCATTCCCCAGCCTACAATAAGTTCATTGTGCGTGCGCGTGTGTGTGCATTGCACGTGCGTGCGTGTGTGTGTGCATTGCACGTGCGTGTGTGTGTGTGCATTGCACGTGCGTGTGTGTGTGTGTGCATTGCACGTGCGTGTGTGTGTGTGCATTGCACGTGCGTGTGTGTGTATTGTACGTGTGTGTGTGCATTGCACTTGTGTGTGTGTGTGCATTGCACTTGTGTGTGTGTGTGTATTGCACGTGTGTGTGTGTGTGTGCATTGCACGTGTGTGTGTGTGCACGCGTGGATGTGGCCGAGCGTGGTTCTGGGTACAAACCCCCTTGCGTGTCATCCCGGCCCTTAATAGGTGTTCGCAAACAGCACTTGCCCAAGCAGTCTTTTAACGGCTCTATGGGAGATTTTCTCCTCGTTGTTGTAATGAGTCTATGGATGTGTGCGTGCGTTCAAGTGGCGCTGTGGTTTGCACGCTGCGGTGGCGGATATCTGAACTGGTCCTGGCCATCCCCTATGTTAACTCGGCCTCAAATGTGTACCTGGTGTGGTGTCTAAATATCTCCACAAGCGAGACAAATGTGTCTTTCATTAGGTGCTCGCTAACAGCACTTTCCCTAACAGTATGTAGGCTACATGGGGGATCTTTGTGTGCTTGTATCTCTGTAGATACGTGCGTCTGGACATGTGCAGATGGGTTATGTGAATAGTGGTTGGCGAGAACCACTATTCCCACTGAAGCGTGGTCACGCGAGTTCGATTTCTGAGCAATGGCTAACATCGGTGGCAAGCGGTGTGAAAACTTGTCACGTGGCACACATCATTAAATGATGTGTGGCACACTTAGCCTTAAATTAGAACCTGGTGCAGCGTTTAAACAGCAGCACTGGGGAGACAAAGGCAGCCCGGCTGGTATTGGCCATATTTCCCGCTCACGCTAAGCCAGCCTTGCATGTGTATATGTTGATCCTCGTTTGCACCGTAAGTAGCCATCCGCGCTCATGGGAGGTGCGTAGGGAAGGACGTCAGCTCCAGCCTTGACTCTTATTCACAAGCTGCACTTGACCCCAGAAGTCTGTGTGGCTCTTCTCGGGATTGGAGTAGACGTGTCTGTGCCGTGTGTAAGCAAGTGTACGAACAAAAACGTGAGCACGGTTGTATAGCAGCATGTGCATGTAGTTAAATACGTATGAAAATTTATTGAGGTTTGTAGAGAGAGGACCTGCCTGTGTACGCGCATATTTGTGTGTGCGCGTGAGTGTTGCAAAATGCAGGGTGAATGAAATGCATTAAACTATTTGAGAAATGAAATGCCTTTGGGAATTGATAAAACAAAATCTTTATGTTATTATTCAGGTCTTGCTTTCTTGTTGGAACAGAAAAACCGTGTATACGTATGTAACAGTTGTGCTGGTAAGTGCATATTGAAGATACGTTTTAATGATTTAAGGCTTACACTGCGGTGGTGATTGCACTTTTAGAAGAAATGTGTAAAAAAATTAGAAGCACTCACTTTAAATTATCTTTTTAGTCCCGATGCACGGAAATACTTTTAAATATGCATTACGTGCACATTGAAGCGTGCATTTTAACGTAGCAAAATTTATTCAGTTAGATTGTTTTTGCAATTTCATACATTTGGCCAAAAGACAACACTATTTACCATTTCACTTAGGGCCTAGAAACCAAATCACTCATGTGTCCAACAATCCATTGCTGAGTTTAACACGTAGGCTTTCGCGACCAATATCCATTATACAGCTTTTATGAGTGAGATCGCGTAAATATATAAATGTGTCGTTAAACCGGCCACCACCCGACACAGCCAATTCGTAAGATTTGTCTCGAAAACAGTACATGCCAATTCGTTACCAGTTCAGCACACCGATTTGTTGAAGAGCCAAGCCACAACATTTACAATCTGAGTGCGACGTTTCGCTAGTTGTAATTACTGGCCAAACGTTGTACTCAGATTGTAAATGCTGTGGCTTGGCTCTCCAACACACCGGTGTGCTGTACTAGTAACGAATCCATTGCTTGTACTGCCATTCCCTTGACTAGCATGTGCTCCAAGCCTACACAACTAGGTATTCCCAGAGACAGTCCTTCCATCAAACTATTAACCAGGCTCGGCCCTGCTATTTTATTTTATTCAAGGAGGAATTTGTGTCGTACTGCATGTGGCTGTGCTCATCATCACGTAATTTGTTGTCATACATGAACATACTAATAGTGACCCCAACGCAATTATCTCTGAGTTTAACTTAAGGAAATCGTGTTGCATCAATGCAATGGCTTAAAAGACAAGCAATGACATGTTGCAAAGCCTACAGTGGAGTGTTGTGACGACACAGTTGTGTTGGGATGCCCCCAGCAGAATGTTGTGAAGTTTGGGAACATATAGGTGGAGACACAGACCCATGTAGGATGAGACACACACACGCACACTAATAAGTGGTGGTGACGTCACCATGCCACCTGTGCCAGGCTAGGTGAGCTTTGAGGCCACGTAAAACGTCAAACGCTCTTATTTACGTTCTTGGCGATAACAAGGAATGTGTCAATTCATGGTCATGGACCTATTCAGGAATTGGACATATAATATTTGTGTGAGCGTAGCAGTCGCTACTGACTACAAGGGTCACATGACAGTCAATACATAACCTCGAGATATTTGTATTTATTTAAACATAATATTAGAATACATTACACTGATGTTAATATTAAAGCCGAAAGACAAAATAAATGGGAAATCATTGTTGCCATCGAAAAAAATATTGAGGCAGTGGTCATCTCCATCCATTTGGCACAGCAGAGGCTTGAGTGCATACGGCTGGAAGAAGTGTACATCGACTCAGCCCATCATCTCCCCAGATGAGCTAAGAAACGTACCAATTTGTGGGATAAACACAGCAGCTGCACTAGTGGACTCACTCGCCCTGTCGTGATAATGTGGAACTTCCACCGCTGTTCTGAGATCTGTTCTTGCCAAACGAGCATTGTGTTTGGGGGGGGGGGGGTAACGGAGGAGGTGACTGTCTCGCCCATTGGCACTCAACCACGACTGGATGAATATTCCACTTTCCTGTGGCACGTGCTATAGTCTCAAACTACAAACAAGCATATTGCTCTTACAGTCCCCACGTTACAGGGCTAATAATACAATGGCGTGGCATTTAAATAATAATGTTAAAAAGTCGCGCAGCGCCTCTAGGGACGTTTAAAGAGGTGTCGCCAGGAACTTGTAACAATATACCGGTGGTTGTAGCAGCTGGTGTATAAACACCTGGCATTTTCCAATCCCATTATAGCCACGCTGCCGTGAGTTACTGGGCTCGCTGCCTCATGGGTCCGCAACATACAATGCCACTTTAGGGTGACTAGGGGTTCAGAAGAGGCAGCGAGACTGGCTGATGACTACTCCACTTGCCACAACGGTGACCACCGGCTATTCGCTGTGAAGGTAAGCGGAAGATTTTAAACACGCGCCGCACTTCCAATCGTTGCGGTTATTTTAGTTGTTTGCTGCGAATGAATGATGTGCAGATTGTCGGAGACTAAAAACGGCCGTCGTGATTAACCGACTCTTGTGTTAAAAAAAGATTGGGGTCGCCACATTATGGCAATACTATGTTTTATATTAGGCGTCACGGTGGCGAGATGCTAACTGCCTCGTCTTGTATACAGGAGGTTGTGGGTTTGATCCCGACCCTGACGATGCCTGTATTTTTGAGGTTTGCATGTACACTCCATGGTTGAGTGGATTCTTCTTCGGGTTTTCTGGTTTTTTTCTCCGCAATTAGAATCGACTCGCGTTGAGAGTGTTTGGGTGTTAAACATTTCCACTTGATACGCCACTTTATTGAGCTATAATTTGCGGGCCAGGTTGCTTCTGAAAGCGAGCTATATATCTCAGTGGGCCTTACCTGGTGAAATAAAAACAATTAGGTATCGTTTCATAGTTTAATATTGGCCGATATAAAATGTGTGACGATCGTATGTTACCTTTTGCAAAAAAATATATATAAACCGCGATGTATTGATCATCGTTGCTCATGAAAAAAGTGTGTTTTACTTCCTAACAAAATAATTACGAAGTGACAAAAGCACAGCAATTACGGTTCTAGATAATCGCTCTCATCTATTAATATACAGTAGGTGCTTTTCATACCGTTTTGTGGTGTACACTGATGGCACACTAACGTGACATGTGCTCAGAATTTTTAGCAGTCTATTTAATTGATTCCCATTTAATTAGCAGCGTGCGAGCTTTAAGCTTTACAGGTTGTAAAATTGCAGTGATTAAACGCCTTGTGGCAGGCTTATGTTGGGTTACCTGCAGCAAATGCTTTCTTCAAGTTATCTGTATTGATTCTGGAAGCACAGTGATGCACGACAATAAAATAAAGAGGAACACAATTACGAAGTGATGGGAAACTGATGTCTTAATAACCGTCTCATCGTGAAAATGTATTATTGCATTTGTGAAAAAATATATACGAAACTACCCAAATAATCACCATACATTCCAGCAAGTGTACTTATTATTCGTAAATTTCCCATGGTGATGGCAAGTAATTAGATGACGAAGCGTTTGGCTACCCTCAGAGAGTCATTGGATACACTCGGGAGACGGACGTGGCAAATGTGATCGCATTGTTAAAAAAAACAACAACCTCGACTTGGGCAGAACACACACCGCTCGCAAGGGCGACGTGGCAGATGAGACTGGCGGTGGAGTGACAGCCAAATGGAGAGAGAATGTTGAGAGGTCACCACCGCGGAGATGGAGCGACGAGGGGTCACAACAGTTAACGTGACAGGAGTGAGAAAGGAGCGTACGGCATTGCGTGACCATGAGCGATTGATTGCGATGGCATGGAAAGGCCTTCATCCAGCAGTGGATAGACAATGGCCGATGATGATAATGATGATATGAAGTAACGTATTTTCAGACTGTACCGTCCCACCGGTTTTGTCCTTTACATGATTTTCAGCCAATTGCATCCAATTATGTTAATGCCAAGTGTTGTGAATGTGCTGCGCATGAGGGTTTGTATATCATTAGTTTAAAATGCTCGTATGCATATGAATATAATGGCAACGGTGGATATTTCTGAGAGTCTCTGGGACCAATTCACTGAGCCTGCACTACAGAGAGCCTGTGTGTGTGTGTTGTTTATCATCCCCTCTCTGCCTTCATCATCCAAAACTGGCCAGCAAGAAGAAGTATGGTCAAATAACACCTCATGGCGTGGGGAAGCCTTCATCCAATAATAGATTAACAAATGGCTGAAAAGGTATGACATTTAAATGCAAAGGCCATCCAACATATCATTGTCATAAAACATGATTTGACCTTACTTTACCTTGCTGGTCAAAGTAAGTTGGTGAAGTGGGAGAGGATGGGACCATTTAGATGTCACTTGCCACTGATGTTGACCTCGCTCGGGAATCCAACTCAGGTCACCGTGTTATTCAAGCACAAGCATGTGAACTGCTGCACTGACGCTGCCCTAAACATGACCTAGCAGGGATTGGGAAGTTAAAACACTTTTTTGGAAAACAGGTCGTTCAAAGTAATGTAAAGATGCAGCCCTGCAATTTCTTGCTCAGAACCACTGCTGGCAGAAGGGTCTCCAGTATAGGGTGCTCTAGAGAGCCCCTCCACAGAGCATTTGACCTATTCTTCCACACTGGCCAGACGTTTTGGAATAAGTGGGAGTACCCACATTTCCCCCCACCACACGTGACCTATCAACTACTTTTTATTTTACCAGGTAAGGCCCAGTGAGATACATAGCTCTTTTTCAGAAGCGACCTGGCCACAAATGATAGCTTAAACGATGTTGCTTATCAGGTGGAAATTTATAGCTGCCAAATACTCTAAATGGACGTTGATTCTAAATGTGGAAGGAAAAACCGGAGGACCTGGAGCAAAATCCACTTGACCACGGGGAGAACATGCAAACTCCAAATATACAGCAGGCATCAGGATCGGGATCGAACTTACAACCTCATGCATGCCATGTGAGGCAGTTAACATCTCGCCACCGTGGAGCTATCGACCAACTGGTGGTAACCCACGTGTACGGCTGGGTGGGCAGAGGCGGAGGGGGGAATTCAAGAAACCTGCACCATTGTTTCAACTGCCGCGCCAGGAGGTCGAACCGGCGGCTCGATCTCTGTGCTGAGACTACGACGCTGCGGCAGCATGCATTCAATGAGCGTACCACGGTGGCGAGATCTTAACTACCTCGCCTGGTATACGGGAGGTCATGGGTTTGACGCCGTCCAAGGCACCTGTATGCTTGGAGTTTGCATGCTGTCCTTGTGCTCACATCAATTTTTTATCCAGGTCCTCCGGGTTTTCTCTCCACATCTGGAAACGTGCGTTTACAGTATTTGGCTACTATACATTGCCAAATGACAAGCCACTTAGTCGATATATCATTTGTGGCCAGGACACTTCTAAAAAAGAGCTATATAGCTCAGTAGGCTTGACTTGATTTTAAAATTTTTTTAGATTAAATCAATAACTAACCCAATAAAGTGCCACTTTTTTTTAGGAAAGTGTATGTGTCAATACACGACTATTGGAACCGTGTGCCAAAAATATCAAAACGTCACGCTCTTCCCAGCAAATGCAAAAATAAATGCTGTTCACAACACCTTGGTATGACTGATAGAATTTACTTCCACCATCAGCGTGGAAAATGGTGCTTAAGGTATTATAATTTCTACCCAATACAGAAAGGTTACCAAGTGCATCATCAAAACGCAGCCGATTGTTCTAATCTACAAAACGAATTGACTGAACAGCTTGTGGCAAACGCTGGCATTATAGTGTTCAGTTTTTTTTATTATCGTCAGTGGCTTGCTGCTACAAAATGCTGTAATTGTGATATTCTAAATCAGGCACCATTTTTTCCGCCTTTGTTATGACGTTAGTCTTAAAATATAACTTTTGCCAAAAATGTTGCATCAATGCTGTTTATTCATATGTATAGTTTTCCGCGGTGCCACTGACTTAAACGATATAATTGTACCGTTTCCCTGTGCGCTGTTTCCGCAGCTTCGAGGCCCATCGCTCGGTCGCAAAAATGTTTTCCCTTGGCGCTCGGAGGCTTGCCAGCGACAGCTGCCCGCGGGCCTCCCTACCATGCGTGCTGCTAGCGATGGCCGCCCTGCTGACGACGGGCCGGTGCTGCCCGCCGCGCTGCGACTGCGACGTCCTCGAGAAGTCGGTGGTGTGCCACCGGCGGCGCCTCTCCGCCATCCCCGAGGGCATCCCGAGCGAGACGCGTGTCCTTGACCTGAGCAAGAACCGCCTCAAGTGCGTCGACACTGACGACTTCGCGGCCTTCCCCGAGCTCGAGGAACTGGAACTGAATGAGAACGTCATCGCCACTGTCGAGCCCGGGGCGTTCAACAACCTCCCGTACCTGCAGTCGCTCAGGCTCAGGAGCAACCGCCTGCGGCTGCTGCAGATAGGCACCTTCGACGGGCTCACCAACCTGACTCACCTGGACATCAGCGAGAACAAGATCGTCATCCTCCTGGACTATGTCTTCCAGGACCTCGTCAGTCTGAGGAAGCTGGAGGTCGGCGACAACGACCTGGTGTACATCTCGCACCAGGCCTTCAGCGGGCTGCAGAGCCTGGAGGAGCTGACGGTGGAGAAGTGCAACCTGACGGCCGTGCCCACCGAGGCCCTGACCCACCTGACCAGCCTGCTCAAGCTGAGGCTGCGCTACCTCAACATTGCTACGCTGCAGGACTACTCCTTCAGGAAACTCTTCCAGCTGCAGATGTTGGAAATCGACAACTGGCCCATGCTCGAGAGGCTCTCGAAAAACAGCCTCTACGGCCTCAATGTGACGTCGCTCACCGTAACCAACACCAATCTCTCGGCAGTGCCCAGCGACGCTCTGAGGCCACTGCAGTATCTCCGATTCCTCAACCTGTCCTACAATCCTCTGGGCACGATCAAGGCGGACGCCTTTGAGACGCTACGCCATCTGAGGCACCTTTGCATCGCCGAGGCTCAGCTCAGTAGCATCGATCCGTACGCCTTCCGGGGCCTAGCCGAGATGAAGATCGTCAACGTGTCGGGTAACAACCTGATGACGTTGGAAGAGAAAGCATTCCACTCCGTGGACGTTTTGGACGCTCTGTACATCAACGAGAACCCGCTCGTGTGCGACTGCCGTCTGCTGTGGCTGACGAAGCGGCTCTACATGCTGCGTTTTGACGACAGCCCGCCCGTCTGCTACACCGCCGACTACTTGCAGGACATCGAGTTCGGCAGCGTCGCGTCCAACAAATTCCTCCCGTACTTCGTCTGCAAGAAGCCCAGGATTGTCGGCCCCAAGCAGCGCACCTACTCCGTCAAGGAGGGCCAGATCGTGAAGCTGTCCTGCGCGGCTGAGGGTGACCCGGCGCCCCGGAAGAGCTGGGAGCTGCCACAGAGGAGGGCGGCGCCCGCGCCAACGAGGCGGAATGGCCGCCTCAGCCTCCTGCCGGACGGCAGCCTCCAGATCCGGCACGCGCAGCTGCAGGACGGCGGGCGGTACACGTGCGTTGCCAGCAACGTGGCGGGCAACGACAGCGCCACGGTTCACCTCCTGGTCGGCGGGTCGGGCCTGGGCTCGGGCAACGGGTCGCTGCTGGCGCACGCGGTGGCCGACATGGCGGCGGGCAACGGGAGCGGCGGCGGCGGCGGCGGCGGCGGCGCGGGGGGAGCGACGGGCGGCCGCGGCGGGTTGGGCTTCCCGCTGGACCTCACCACGATCCTCGTGGCCACGGCCATGGGCTGCTTCACCTTCCTGGGGGTCGTGCTCTTCTGCCTGCTCATCCTCTTCCTGTGGAGCAGGGGCAAGGGCAAGCACAAGACTAACGTGGAGATCGAGTACGTTCCACCGCGCAAGCCTGACGAGTACATGCTGGATGCCACCCGGCCGCGCCGCTACAACATGAAGATGATTTGACACAGGGGCGAGATGCCCCCCCCCTCCCCCCATGTCCAGATCACTTGGACCATGAACTCCCTCTCTCTATCTCGCTATCTACCGATCTATTGCTGACGCGGCGATTACAGCGCCCTGTTTGATTTCCGGCAAGTGCGGATCGGTTTCCTGAATCGCGTCCTGCTCTTTGCGAAGGCGGGATGTGTGAAAGAACTCAATTGTCGAGGGGAATAGGAGGTCAGTTAACCAAAGGATATTTGAGCTGACCGGCTTAGTGGCAAACCCCAAGGTAATTCAAGGTGAACCAAAAAAACGAAGCAATGACAAATATCAAAGAAGATAACCTGAACTGTGTGAAGTTGTTTCCGCTGTCGGCTCTGCGATAGCTGTTATCGCTGCATTGGGCTCGCTCCCACCCCCGTGTGTACTCTCAATGTGTTTTCATCCCCTTTGACATGTGGACGGTTTTTGAAAAAAAACTGCTTCTCAATGTTGTCCCCCTATCTCACAAATGTGCGCTTGGCACAAATCAAACTCGCTCGTTTGGACAGCACTGCGTTGTGCGTGCACGCATCTAAGTTGACTGCATCTTGAGGTGCAGGCACATGGCGAGTTTGTTAAGTCGATATGGGGGCGGGGATCTTTGTCTTTTGCATCGCTCACTCCGAATGCAAAATTGAACGGCCCATAAAACAGAGTTAAATTGTTATGGTCAGCTGCAAAAAGTAGCATCAGCTCAGTCAATGGATATTTACAGCATTCATTTCATACTGCAGATAGTTTCAACCGCAGCGGTGGTATAGTGGACAGTGTACAGAGCTCGGAATCCCTAAAACCAATGTTTGATTCCGAGCGGCAGCCATGATCAGTGGTATGGGATATCAGAACGGGTCCTGCCCCTTCTCCCCTTCACCAACCCCGGACTGAGCAGATTGGTGAAGTATGGTAACATAAAACTGCCATACATGGCATGGGGAAGGCTTTTCATAAATTGGCAGATTGCCAATGCTGGGAATGTTTTAAATGTATTTGTTGTTTCACGCAATAGAAAAAAAAATATTCTAAGTATTGGAGTACTACAAAGGTTTTCCCATTCACTTTCTCTATTCGAATAAGTGCCATTTATTCAAATAAAAGTTATATTGGAAAAAAGGAAAGGGAGGGAGAGAAAAGAGTTGCATGCATCCATTCGCAATTCTTGTTAGACCTGTGAAACGGAGGGAGATGCATATGCCCTGCATCGTCCTTCGAATGCATTTGGGGAACAGTTTCTTTGTTAATGTTTCCATTGCAATGGAAACTGCATGTCAAGGACTACATCCAGTTATAGGCGGTTCGGACACTACTGATGAATGCAACGCTTTTGAACCGCAATTGCGCGGTGCTTCTGCCCAGCGGTATCCCGTGTATTGGTAACTGCGAGGCTCTCTACTAATGTATTTCGCTTCAAATAAGCGGAGCTATTTCTCGTGCCTCTTATTGGAAAAAAAAGCAGTGAATGAAAGGCAAAGATATATTATATTAAACTTTTTTTCTTTTGAACTCACTCAATATTAATAATACAAAAAAGCAGTGCAGTTTCCTATAGCACCAGAGTCGGGAAACTTATAAGTAAAGTAACATTTATGAGCCTGACGGTATACTATGGATTATTGGAAGCTGAGATGAGTCGGAGAACCTAAGCATATCGAGTGCAGTAAATACTTTGGTTGAAGGCACACAGGGAATCTAGGGTCGAATACTTTATTCAGGAAGTCGTGATCAAGGCTCGATTCATGAGGGTGTTGAAATAAACACAAGAAGTGATTTAATGCGTTTAATTGAATTTTTTTCTTACACTTATCGTCATCTGTTTCGGCGCAGGCTAATATTTCCTCGATCACAATTGATAATTTCACTTGCGTCGTCCCGCTTTTTAGGGCGAGTGTATCAACTTATTTGATGAAAAATGTGAACCGAGTGAGTACTAGATACGACCATCACTATGACACACAAAAAAAAATAACCACAAATGACAAAACATAGTCGAGTGTGTGAAGGTACAGCCCAGCAATTGTTCGCTCACACCGCTGTCGGTGGTAGGGCCTCCACTTTAAAGCGGGGCCCTTTAGAAGGTAATTGGCCTACTCCTCCACGCTGGCCAGACCATCTTGGATAGAGGTGGGAGTGCCCACACTTCACCCCACCACAAGAGGCCTGAGAACCCGTTTGTGCCGCTGGGTGCAGAGAGGTTTCGCCGTTGGACATTTAAGAAACCTGCATCGTTTCAACTGCCGCGCCGGATGATCGGATCTACAATCTCCGGATCGTAGCTACATTGTGCTAACCCATGCACCCACGGCAGCACGCTCACTCAACTGGATTAATAATGAAGGCCCCAATGTACCTCTTAGTTGCCACTTCATGTTAATGACTGCCCGGTGTATTTATGGAAGAAATCAAACATAGAAGAAGAAGAAGAACAAGAAGAAATAATTATTGTTTGTTCGACAATACCAACAACAATATGCGACGGAAGGCACTTTGGAATAATTACTACATCGCCCGTTAATTTATCTTCTGCATGAATTGCTGCAGTTTGTGCTTTAACTTTAAGCATTCTGCCCGAATACGGAACTCCCTGCGGGAATGCTAATGATTTTGCCAACACAGTTGGGTGCAAGGAAGGACACTTATTTTTTCGGTTGGGCACTCATGATTATTCAACAATTTCAAGGCGAGGCTGAGTAACATTTGCATACATTTGGTTTGCATGCGCAATGTTACCAAAAGGTCATAATGGCCAATGCGGATGACGCCACGACACTACACCATTAGCAGTATCCCCTTCTGCTAGATCTCTATAGTTGTACCAAAGTTAGCACCTGTCCTGCAAGGTCTGCTCTTGCAGTCTTATCATTCATAATAAATAATCACCAACCACCACGATCTGACTGTAGGTCTTCACCTTGTTCGATAGTTAACACATCATTGACGGAGCACAGTCTCATCATCATCACCATCACCACCACCACCACCATCTCGCATTAGGTCTAACCATTACTTGTCGACCTCTGGGTGCCACTTCGATGCCTGGTTTGGTAACATGCCCTCTTCCATCCTGCAGACGTGTCCCACCCATCGCTGATGACATCTACAAAACGTTCTTTGCTATGTCCTGGTATGAACCTCCGAGGCATCGGTCACGCTATTTTGTTTTGGAATTCGTAGCATCCTCTGCATGCACCTATATTTAAAGGTTTGTACATACTGAATATGTATATACAGCGACATTTTGGATATGTGTTAATGTGTGTGTGTATGTCAAATGTCTGTACATTGTTGATTAAGTATAAAAAAATCATCTTGTTGAAACGAACAGAAGTACAGTACTTTACCAATGTTTTTGTTTATTTAGACAATGTAAAAATTGCGTTAGCTGATACACTTTAAGGAGTTTAGTACGTACTGAATGTGTATATGAATATATATAAACTAAACATATACGTGGATTAAACAAAATGCTAAATCCTTTTTGGCAATTGGGATTACAGCTCTGTGTTCCCTGGCAAACACTTAATATGTAAATGTTGGGCTTTTTCTTTTGAAATCTGCGAGCAACCGTGTGCGAGTGACACTGCTCAGCGAGTTTATTCCATCACCGCTTGTGATCCGTACCATGTTTGTAAAGTCTGAAGTTGGGTAAAGACTTAAGGACATTTCTGAAAAAAATTTGACAGGGGAAATTTAAGTCACTTCTTATTAAACTTCGTAAGGGGTTCAGCAAGAGACGTCAATTTGCAGCTAATGCGCTTTATAGCTTTGCTGAGGTCAATAATGCTACAAATATTACCCGACTGAAATGTTTTTTTTTTTCGTCTTGGCAAATTACACTGTCGGTGTTTACATATATAGTTAAATTTTCAACCCAAATCTCAATTTAATTCTCAAAAGTAATTTTCTAATTAATATTTTACTTTCAAATGGTTGCTGGCTTCAAATATTAATGTCACCGCAATTACAGAGGCCGGCGGTAAAGCATGCGATCTGCATTGAATGATTGTCAGCTTAAAAAACAAACACACTTCGAAAATAAATGATTATCGTTCAAATAGATGTTGGCTTTTGTTATATTTATGACAGTGGTCTTTAGTTCGGAGCAATGTTTTGAGTGTGTGTGCCGAACTAAACCAAGTGCCCTTCCGAAAATTAATCATCACATCTACGACTATTCGTAATGTATAATTGATGACATGGTGCTCACGTGTCCCTCCTTAGTTAGTTTTTACGAATAAAAAAATAATAATCTTGGGACAATTTTGAAGGTGTTTTTGTTGTTGTTGTTGTTGTAACGTCCCATTTGATGATGGAAGTGGCAGCCTAAGAAATGGATCGAGCAACGACAGGACGCCTGCCGAAGAGATGGAGCAGCAATGAGATCAGTTCGTAAATTGTTACATTGCAGGATTTCTGAGAAGACAGTGGTGGTGACTTGGGGAGGGTTTTCATCCAGCAGTGGATTGATCATGGCTGCTGATGATGATGATGAAGATTTATTTATGTACTTTTTTTTCATTTTGCAGGTAAAGTTGGGAGGAAAAAATTCAAGAGATTCTGTTTTGAATGCAGGCAGCCAAATTATTAAATCAAGCCCTCGGGTGTCGAAAGTTAATGGTCTCGGTCCATTTATGAATCAAAGACATCGCAAGAAACAACATCATATGTTGGTTTTAATTGACTTTTATATATTGCACATGAATCTGTCCTGCATGCTGTCAATGTTATTTTAGAATGTCAGACATGATTTACTGTGTATACTTTCTGTCCTATTTATTGACTCATTCCTGCCATATGCATGTGGAATTTCCACAACTGGCTCAGGGCTCTAATGAGGAAATGGGCACCACTCCAATGTTCACTTGAACGGAAAATCATGGTGACATTTTTTTTATATTACATAGTGGTGGTGCAGTGGTTCATGGACTACACTCTTTTTTGTTCAAGTAATATGCTATAGTTTTAGGAACGATTAAATGTCTTAAAAATGTATATTTATTGTACCATTACATACATATTTTGTGGGGTACGGGGGGGGGAGAACGATTAGCGCAATGCTGTATGAGCCAACCAACCTGAATTTGATTCCTGGCCACAACTAACATATCAGTGGCTGTCCTGGCCCCCCAATCACCACACTGCACTGACCAGCATGGTGAAGCATGGTCGATAAGTGAACCGATTCTTAACCCCTCCCCCGTCCCCCACTGTACCAACCCACACTGACCAGCATGGTGAGAAATCGTCTAAAAAGCCCCCTAATCTGATTTAATAAGAGGCTGGATGCATACTTTATAAGCCGAATAACAAATTTTATTTCGTTCATCAAAGCATCGTTATACTCCTAAATAAAACGTGAAACACCATTACAAGAGCCTGTAAGCACGGCACGCGAGGGGGTGGGTGGCCAACACCACGCCCACACGTACACACACACATACACACACGTACACATACACACACGCGTGCACACAAAGACAATGATTCTCCCCGTATAGCATTCACAGACTGTTGGGGCAAGTGCTGTTAGCGAGCAGCACCTACGAAGGCCGACACGGCACACGAGTGGGTGGGTGGCCAGCACCACGCCCCGGCCGCCTTTGTCTCCCCAGTGGCGATGACTACTACACCGCTTCTAGCTCGGCACATATATAGACAGTATGTAAAAAAAAAAGAATCCACAATTAACTATCGTGCACTCAGCTTACCTCTCTCTCTGCGTCTCGCAAATACAGACGCCCCTTTTGTTCCACCGTCCCCGGACGGAGCCACCGGGGCTGCATTACAATAGATGAGTAATGGTCCTGTTGAATTCATTAGGTGCGGAACGCTTGGAATTGGCACGAAGATCACCACCACCAGAGCTGTGTCTTTGTCAGCACGCGATACCCGCAGCACCCAGCAACTCTTAAGAGTGACACATGTGACCGAGTGTGAACAGGCTCAAATAACATCTGCCATTGCGTGCAACTTCACAAACCACTTGTAATGTGCCAGTTGCACCGTGTATTGCGCAATGGAGGGTTGTTGTTTCTTTATGTTTACAATTTTTTCCGCAGCTTGAATCTGTTGTAATAACGCTGCTTGTTTCTGTCAGTTGCATTGCAACCGTGCTGCATGCAACGCGCAGCATAGTACCGACGTAGCTCGATTATTGCAACTCGCTACTCTACGGGACGTCTGGCAAAACATTACTAAGCTGCAGTGTATACAGCGTTCTTTTGGCACGTTTCGTGACGGGTACCTAACCATGTCCGTGCAGTGCAGGCTGAGCAGCATTGGCTTCTCGTTGCTGAACGAACACATTATGCGTTCGCACTCATTATACTGGACATCTGTAAAATAAAGAGCTTTATAGCTCATCGGATTCCTCCAGTATAAATACATATTCTAGTTTCTGACACAAAGTGCTTGCCACAAAATGAACCACAATACCTTGCCGATCTCGCCAAGGAGCATAAAACCATCAGACGAACTTCGGTCATCCTCGCAGCGCCTTTCGGCGAGTAGTCGAGAGAAGACGGTCACCACGTTGCGCGACTTTCAGATGCACTTCTGCGGCCGTCTGGAACGCTCTTCCTTCCGATATTTGGAAGCCGCTTGAGCTTTGTACTTTTTAATCCAGATTGGAAACGAATTTCTTTGGAACTGCTTTGTGTTCAGTTTGGTGTCCTTCCCCCGCACCTCCGATGAGCATGGTTGGCTACATATGGTGCAAAAGAAGTTTAACATTCAGACATTCAAGCTTGGAAATATATGTACTTATGCAATTTGAACTTACATACTTTTTCCATGTTTATTTACTTATATACTCCTACCATTTGGTTTCATATCGTTTGTTGATTCACCCCTACTAGACATTTGTGAGAAAAAAGAAGCTTCACAGCTCATCGGATTTCTCCAAGCTAAAATAAAATTTTGATTCTGAAATAACGATTGTGTACTGGTGATTAAAAGGAAAGAAAAGGGCTTGAGCAGGTCACGTCACGAGAAGGGGTACGATGGTCAAGACTAACACAGTAACCGATTGGAAATCGAGGCATGGAAGGCATCCAAGAGGAGGTCCACTGAAGAGATGGAGCAATGGATTCAGCTCGGATGCGGGTTCTGGACCTATTAGTACATCGCAGGCTCGTAAGGGATCGTGAATTATAGAGGCCTACGTACAGCAGCGCCTCCGATTAGCAGGGTTGGCTGTGTACGGTGCAAAATAAGTTCAATATACAGATTGGGGCGCCGCGTTAGCGACATGTTAACTACTCCGCCTGGTATGCAGGAAGCCATGGGCTCGATCCCGACCCTGACGCCTGTATTTTTGGAGTTTGCATGTTCCCCCCCGTGGTCGCGTGGATTTTTCTCTGCGTTCTCCGGGTTTGCCCTCTACATTGAGAATCGACACGCGTTTAGAATGTTTGGCGATATAAATATCCACGTGATAGGCCACTTCGTTGAGCTATCATTTGTGGCCAGGTCGCTTCTAAAAAGAGCTATATAGCACAGTGGGCTTTACCTGGTAAAAAAATAAATGTGTTTAATTTTAATCAGATTAACCATGGCTGATGGTGGTGATGACAGGTATCGTGTCAAAAGATGATCGAAACCCTCATTCTTTCACAGTTCGTGGTGTAACACATTGTAATCACAGAACGTGTGGAATTCCTTATCAACAGTCACACTTTGTATATATGCCTTTCAGAGAGTGCATTACACACCGATGAAACCAGAGCCTTCAATTCTCAGAGTTGGGATGAGTAAAATTAAGTTGAAAACCAAACGTAATGTTATTTTTGTGCAAGTCATTGGTGACTTGGCTGAGGCCATGAATCAACTCGCTACGCATGTTGATGACCCAGTTCAATCTTGCAAATGGGACACTTGCCTCGTCTCTTGAGTTCTCACCAGCTTAAATAAAATAAACCGCAAACTTGAAACAACATTTAAATCATGGGTTGGCTCTGTGTGAATTCGAGTTCAACATCTCAGCAATACCTGCCCGGCGTTCTGAGACGGCATTATCTCTCACTCTTTGAGCTGCCCATCCACCCTCGATGGGTCCGTGGTCTTGAGTCTGCCCACCAACAGCTGGTGTAGAAAATAACCAGCGTCCCTGTACAGTATGTGGTAGCGGGTCGCTGTGGGCGAGGGGAGACAATGGTGATTGGCAGATGTTACAGGTTTTTCAATCGGGTGATTTAAATCGGTAGCACAGTCAACACAAACACTGCGACCACAACTTCAGTGCTATTGTTAAATACCGTAACGCATATTTATTGATTTACCCCTACCATGGGCGAAGACCCCTGGGGACACGCTGGTGGGACGATGTCGCTCGGCTGGCCTGGGAATGCTTGGGAATTCCCCAGGAAGAAGAGAGTCTGTTATAGTAGTGTATATAGTAGAGTATAGTGTAGTGTATAGTGTAGCAGTATGTATTGTGCCGTAGTGCTATAGAGTATGTCGCCATGGAAAGGGAGGTCTGGACCACCCTACTCAACATGCTGCCGCTGCGACCCTCACCAGGACAAGCGGATTGAGAAACGAACGAACGAACGAACGTGCACATATGTTGAGATACAGAGTACTGAGCTTGGCATCGCTGAGATCCTGGGTTTCAATCAAAGGATTACCACCTGTTATTGAATTGGATTCTCGGGTTTAGTGAGTGGATGATCTCAGCCATGTCGCCAAGAGTCTAGTTACATTTGACATCGTCATAGTCAGCCATGCTTAGGTCTTTAGTCGGTAGTCCTAGTCATCATCATTATCATCATCATCACCACCATCATCACCACCATTCCTGATGATTGTTGGTCATCGATTATTTAACATAAAACAAGTACAGGGACTCCTCCACTTACGAACGAGTTATGTTCCAGAGGTCTGTTTGTATTTGTTCTTAAGTCCAACTTTACTCCTGTCGATTCCAAATATGCTGTATGCCGCGTACACTAATACGCGGAATGGCTATAAAAGCTGTATAATTTACTCTAGATGCCACTGGTTCTTCATGTTCTTCAGATGTAGATGTCACCACCGCTATCTATTGCACGGCGTT